TTCCCTCTCAAAATGTAATGAGATGACATTTAACATTTACCAAACATGTAATTTCATGTAGACCCACCAAATTTTTATTTTCAATTTAAGAGTACGTAGAGTCATTTACATTTTTATTATAAACGACTAGTAATAAATAACTTAGTTTTAAGAGTTTTTTCTTTTTCAACCAAACGTTTATGTTTTGTAATCGAGAACTTTAAAATAGCCTGTTAACTTTTCAATAAACTATGATAATTGTTGCAGTAGTCGACTTCATTGATTTATTTTGTTTTGTTACTGTTAGTTACGTGTGTAAGTGTTGTATTTGGCCATGCACTGAATTCCTATAGATTACTCGTAACGGTTACTCGTAACGGTTACTCGTAACATCCCGTTTTTTCATACTGAGATTGTTAACGCCACATTCAGATTCGACTTAGTTTCAAGATGTTATACGTGTCTTATTTGTTTCACCCAGTTATAACATAATTTATTTCAAGCCATCTTTTCAATCACTCCGTATATCAAACAAATGTATCCTACATGTACTAACTTACATATATGTGGCTCCATGCGTGCCATATACGTATAGAGTTGGCTGTCAGAATCTCGACGGGAGGTAATGGTGATTTCTGCCGAGGAAAAAATGAAAAAAATGTCATCCAGGAAAAATTACCGAAACTTCTCATTTGTTTGCCTTACTTTATAAAATGTTGTTTTTATATAAAATCAGTAACACCATCCTGAACACAGTAGAGCTCTGAAATATGTGAAGGTCAAAAGTCATTTTCTGTGTTCTGTACAATTAAAAAACGCGTATATTTCTGTTTTTAGTGTCCGGCCACTACTTGGTTGCTTCGTATTGGGTACTAGCACTATGTAAATATAGTGAACGATTGTGGTTTTATCTGATTGATATTAAAAAATATAAAACATTCTTATCTTTTAAATGAAACAAATATTATCTCATTATCAAAACTAAAAACAATTGATGAGAAATTAAAAGAAGAGTTTACAACTGAGTGCAAAAATGAAATAAATAATGACAATAGGAAAAAATCAAATTCTAAAAATAAACTAAGAACCTACAAACTTTTTAAAACCAAAATTGAACAAGAAAACTACTTAACAATTATGAAAAACAATGAACTTCGCAATTCCTTAACAAAATTTAGACTTGGCAACCACTGTCTGAAAATTGAAACAGGCCGGCATATAGGTTTGGATTTTAAAGACAGAGTCTGCAATATGTGCGACAATGACCATGTTGAAGATGAACAACATTTTGTCATAAATTGTCCTCATTACAATGAAATAAGATTGAAACTTTACATTGTAGCTAATAAATGTATACCAAATTTTGACAAATTTAGTAATGAAAATAAATTCATATCATTACTAAGTAACGAGAAAATGTCAATTCCTTTAGCGCAATATTTAAAAAAATGTTTTAATACAAGACAGCAGCACCTACATAAACTAAGCCAGTAACACATTCCTCGTATACAAATTTATCTTCCTTTTTTTTAATGCTTTTTTGTTCCCTTACTTTTTATGTAGTTATTTTTCTTTTACTAATATTTGATTTGTAACCCTTTTCATCCCCTCCGGGGGATGTTGTGTGTTAATAAATAAATAAAATAGATTGTCAATTGTAGCGGAAAAGGAGAGATAATTTATCCGATGGAAATTATTTAGGGAGGGGGTCCAGTTGTATTGGCTTCCACTAGTAACGTAAATGCGCCCTCTGCCGACATCTGAATAAATAACGCGAGAACAGCATAACCTGGAAGTGAACAGTACAGCCGAAAGTGCAACAAACTGAATGAACGAATGTACATACGTACGAACAGCTTTACTCTAATGCAGACGTATATGGCACCATTAGGTCGGTTTGACGACTACATGAGTTATAAGTTATTTTGATGTTTTTGTCTTCACGTGTTGTGTACTGATGCTAGGTCGTTGGAATCAAGTTGTTTCATGATTTTTTTATTAACCGTGTTGCCTGTCATTATTGGAAAAGTTGACAAAGTTCCACAATTTGAAGACAAAAATTATGCTCAAATTTTGTAGGTTCACAACACAATTTATAAGCACTTTCTCGTTTCAACAGACCAGAGACAATAATTGTCGGCAATTGTTTTATAAAGTCAAGTCCGAGTCGGATAATGCACTTTTACAAATGGTGCCATCTATAGTTAAACCAATCTTAAGCTGGGTAAAGTCACGTGACTTTGGAGTGGTCAACACGAATGGACCATATGAACAATCCATGCACATATTTATTGTTCTGTGGAGTTTCACAGGTTAATTATGTAACTTAAAAGCTTAGTGTTTTAATTTTTCAAAATTGTTATGATCATCAGATTTGACAAGAATTGCTTTCTGATTGCAATGCACGTTAATAACGGTACTGTGTGATAGAGGGACTGTGGTGTGATAAAGGACTTTTATAGTGGCCTCTCTGTGATAGCGCTTTCGTGGTCCTGGATTGTCTTATGTGATATAGCGCCCTCATAGTGCTAGGTGATATATCTTTTGTTTATTAATGTATGCAAGCTGTCTGTCCATACATGTTTCCAGGCTGTACTTTTGATAAACCATCATCCCATCTTAGACCTTTTACTAATTACACTACACTTTAAGTTGTATAAATACCTATATCCCTTTCCTTTTTCTTGCATTTGCAGTTCTGCCCTACTTTCTATCTCATATGTTTTTGTGTGAGTGTGAGTGTGTGTGCGTGTGGCAACAACGTTGTGACGACTTTAACTTTACACTGACTTGTGATGACAGGATCTACATTGTGACGACCTTTACTATTTTTGTATTAATATTTAAAACAAATTTAAGTCAAGTTTGCGTATCTTAGGTTTAGTAAGGGACGACGTCAAAAGATCGATGTCTGATAACGAACTTATTTGCTTTAGTTTGGGGGTGGGAGGGGGGGGGAGGTTATGACCTCAAAAAGTTTCCATCCTACAAAAACGATTTTATCTTTTAATGAAGTTAAAAAAAATCTTGGAGTATTTGTAGTTCGCTTTTTTTCTATCCAATCATGGACAGAAATAACAGAAAATGAAAAAAAACACATCCAAAACGAGAAAATGGTTTGGTCCGAGTGTAAATATGTGTGTCAAATGAGGTGCATTTGTAAAGTCTTTTTACACCCACCGGACAACTAACTGCTATGCAATACTACTGTCCGATTATCCATTTGTATTCAATGGTGAATGTAGTCTGACGCCATGGTCAATATTTATATTGGCGTCGTCCCTAAAGGGGAAGGCATGGTTCAATTTATATTAATATAATTGTACCATACCTCCCCCCTATACTAAACCTAAGCTTCGCAAACATTTCTATGTTAAGTCATAGGATATTCAACTTTTATTAAATTAAACTTAACTAAAAC